AGGCAGGTACTAACCACAACCTGGGATGTGGTTCCAATTCCAGTGTCCTATCATAATCATTTTTAAGTGAAATTAAATAGAAAAATCTCAAAGAGCATTGCACTGTCGTAAGGGTAAGTATTGTCATGTGAAACTTTTGTTACACAATCTCTGTGTGCGCTGCGTCATCAAAATGGCAGTTGCACTCATAGTGGTTGCAGTCAAGACTCGAGATCTAGGAACAGCTTCTGGACTCACCTGTGCTCTGTCCCTTACCTAGGTCCCCTGCCTGAGCCCTTCACCAATGGGGAGATACAGAAGGTAAGGGCGGATCCCCTACCTGCCCCTCTGGGATTCAGAGACCAGTCAAAAGGTGGAGTGGTTGGGAGGACAGCCCTCTGGCTCAGGCTGAAACTTCAGGGGCCCCAGTTCCAACTCTAAGCTATAGAACTGCCTGTGTACCCCATGGCCCTAGTCTAGGGCCAAGGCTGTCAGGAGGGAGAGGGCTGGCTATGCCCCTCTACAGCCCGCCATCCTGGGTAACAAGCCCCCGCCTCCAACTCCCCACTGTACAGAAGGGGCCATTCTTCCCCCCAAGAACAGAGCTTCAGTGTCTGGCCGCAGGCTGCTGGGCCCCTGCTACTTCCAGGGTTGGAAGAACAAAGCCCCTCCTCCCCTTCTCCCTGGGCAGAGGGAAGGGGGTGAGACCAGGGAAGAGATGGCAGGGCTGGGCGCCAGCTAAAGCCATGGAGGAACCCAGGAAGGGGCTGAGTGCCAAGCTGATGCCCCAGCCAAAGCCTTCACTCCGGGACAAGCCGACTCAGTCAGGCCACAGAGCAGGAGCTCGCTTCAGGGTCTCCTTGAAGGTTTCCCTTCCCCAGGAGCTCCTGCCTGGGCACCTGGCAAGGGGGAGGGTCTCAGAACCTTCTGTCACCCCATCTTTGGGTCTGTACTCTCCACCCGTCTTATTCCTTCAAGGGCCTGCTTGGCTACTTTGGAGTTAAAGTTTCAGGAATCCTGGGGTGAAGTCCAGGCACAGGCTGGCGGGCAGAGATTCTGGGAGCATCACCGTGTTCCCCATGCCAAGCAGAGAGGCCCCCGGTGTCCCCAACTCCAAGAAGCCTCTCCTTGGTCACTGGCCCAAGAGGCTCTACTCAGTGCTTGGAGGCCACATTGGGGAACACCAGGGAAAGGGAGCAATTTCAGCTAATCCCACAGTGGTCTGCGTCCCTCCCGCCCGGGTAGTGGAACCAGGCTGCCCTCTGATCCTTTAAGGAATGCAAAAACATTAAATCCGGTGAGGAGCCCTGACAGGCTCCGGCACCGGAGATTTGGGGTAGACGCCATGGCAAGTGGTACTTCTCAGACTGAGACCAACCCCCTGCCTCGTGAGCTCCCTCTCTTAACAGGACTTCCCTGCCCCATCCCCTGCCAACCCACACCCCTCTTCTCTGTGCCAGGAGAACAGTCGTGAAACCCTGGCAGAGGCAGACTCCGAGAGCCCCAGGCCAGCCCTGGCGAGATCCAACTCCAGCGATACCAGTGAGGAGGTAGGCCGGCTGGGCAGGGGGCGGCAACTGGGTTACAGGAAGCCGATTCCCAGGCCCCCGTGTTCCTGGCACACCAGCCTGCCTTTGAGGTCACATGCTGAGCTGCATTCTGTTCTTGTGACCTGGCTTCCCTGGGCATAGCACCAAGGGAGTCACCTCACTGAGGCTGAGGACCAGAGAGCCCCACCCAGGACTAACCCCCACCTCCTGCCTCCTCCTCCTCTTTACAGCCGAATTCCCAAGACAGCCCCAAGCGACATGACTCCACAGCACCCTCGTCCACCTCTGACCCCATCCTGGACTTCAACATCTCCCTGGCTGTGGCCAAAGAGAGGGCCCACCAGAAGCGCAGCAGCAAACGGGCCCCGCAGATGGACTGGAGCAAGAAAAACGAACTCTTCAGCAACCTCTGAGCGCCTGTCCGCCAGCCACTCACCCTGTCTCTTTCTCTCCTCCCCATTTACTCCCCCGAATCGAATTGACATAAGAATCAGCACCAGCATCCCTTTCTCGACGAATCCGATTTTTCTAGAGAACTATGTTCTTCCCTTGCCTCATGGAAGGCAAATGTTTTTCTGTCCTGCCCCTATCAGAAAGCAGACTCTGTTCCCCTCCTCCTCACTAAGTGCTTTGTCCTGCCAGGTGTGCCCTTGCCACCCTGCCTGGGGCATCACTGCGACCTGCACCAAGCAAGGATCGAGGGACCAGGCGAGAGGGCATCTTCCCTCGCAAGCCCACGTGATGACTAGGTCCAGGGCTGATCAAGGCACTCTGATTGCAGCAACCACAGCTCACAGCAGACAGGGCATCCATTATCCTGAGGGCTGTGGCTTAGGCATCTTATTTTCGTTCGATTATTTTTTTAAGAGTGCAGTTTTGCAGCGTGTAGAGGGATTTTTGTTTCCTTGATTAACATGATTTTCCTCATTGTTGCATCCGGGGCATAGCAGTGGCCTCAGCCTTAAACTTTTGTTTCTACTCCCACTCTCAGAGACCTTGGCAGCACGGGGAGAGTGGCTACCCCCTGCCCATCCCTGAGCCAGGCACCACCATTGTAAGGAAACTCCTTCAGAAATGCAACTGGTTCCTCCGAACTGCTTTAGCCTCTGTGTCTTCCTTTGGAGTTTTGTTCTCTCGCGTTGGACCTCTTCTAAGTAGAAAGTGAGAAATGGCAAAGGAGTGTTCCCAGGTGGCCTTTGGCTAGGAAGGTGGGGTGTGGGTGGAGGGAGGACTTCCTAAGGTTTCCTGTGACCCCAAGCCCAGACAGCTTCAACCATAGGCCCTGAATGTGTACCTGTGCAGGAGCCAGTCCTGTGGCAGAGCAGGGACTCCCCACCCCTGCCATGTCAGCTGCGAGCACTGATGTGGGCCCAGGGGCCCCTTATGCAATAGGGACGGTTCCTGAGCAAAGTGGGAAGTGAGAGCTGAGACCCAGCGCTCTAATTCCAGGAGCGTGAATCTAGGATGGAGCTGGATTTGGAATGTGAGGACTTGGTTTTGCTCTTTCCGCCTGTAGCCAGTGAGGTACAGGATTCCCAGCAACGGGCTAAGCTGGCGCCAGATACCCTATCTTATCTGGCCACTGACCTGATTGGAGGGCAGCTTGTCCAGTGCTAGGGAAAAACAAACCCGTCCCCTGAGCCCCAGGATATGCAGTGTGGCCTGGTGGGGTGGAGGCGACTTTCCAAGGGCAAAATGCCCTGCCCCTCCAAAAGAGACCCAAGCCCCTCATACCTCTGCACCTGAGGCCACAACCTGGAGGTCTGCCAGTGTGGCAAGAGCTGAGGCTGCAGGGCCTGGGGGTTCTAGGCAGGTGCTCAGAAGGAAGGGAATTTGGCCCTGGGCTACTTACTCCACCCACCCCACAGGGAGACCACTCAGAAGACAGGTTCCTGGACTGAGGGGAACAAGGAAGAGAGGAAGATAGCAAATCAGGGAGGAGACTGTGGTGCCCTCGGGCCAGTCACTATCTGGCCATCTCTGGCTCCTTGTTAGGGTTTGGATTCCACTAGCTAAGAGTAACCGTTTAAAACCCTTATCACAGCACCTATCATCTGGTGCCCTGCTCAGCTGAGCCTGGCCTGCCCCGGCCTTGCTTTTACCCTTTGACCCCTGACTCCCACACAGGTGGAACAGGCCTGAGAATTGCCCCAAAGGGCTGCAGAGGGGCCCCTCCCTACCTCACGTGCTGGGTGGGGAGGCCCTGGGGGAACCTTTGACTCTCAATTAAGCTAAAGACAGGTGGAAGGGACAGGTGGCTCAGAGGGAACTCCTACCACTTCGGGGCTGGAGCAGGATACCAAGGGAGCCAAGGCCAGCAAACTTCGTTGTAGATTGAGGCATGTTTTAGATTTTAGTTTTTCACATGCACAGTCTGGTGTGAGACTGGATCCAGCCAGGATTCACTGGGCTAGAGGCCTTGGGCAAGTCACCTTACTTATCTGGGACCAGTTCCCCCCACTTCACATGCCCTACAAGCCACTCTCTGTGGCTGTGTTTTGAAAACATGTCTGGCCTTCTTGATGGCCACCCCAGATTATGATGGAGCATGGGGGACAGTCAGGATCAAAGGGTATCCTCCCACATGAGGTGGGGGACACCGGCCCAGTTTTCCTTTGTAAGCTATGGATGCCAGGCAGCCTGGCCACCCTGAGCCTGTGCCTCCGCTGCCCTCATGTGGCCTGGTCAGGTGTAGCTGCTCCCAAGGCAGAGAGTGAGGGGTAGGCATGGGAGAGAGGGAGGGACAGCACGGCCTGAAGCCTTCCTCTTTAGGGGGACACCACTGAGTGGCCTCCACTTCCTCCTGCAGCCCCCTGAGCTTCATCAACAGAAGGGTGTTCTCCAGTCACAAGGAGCTGTCTCCAAAACTCACTCCTCCACGCTCAAGACTGGCCCCACGGGGGAAGAAAGGAGCAAGAAAACTAGGTCAAGTTACTGGATCTCTGAGCCACTGTCCTTCCACGGTCAGGCTCCTGGGGTCACAGTGGCCTGCTTCTGCAGGACAAGAAGACTGACCTACCCCTGCCCCACCCCTACCCAAAGGACCAGATACTATGAGCCTCGGCCTCTGGGTAGCTCTTCTCCACATCTGCCGAATGGGAAAACAAGGAAAGCTGGCCATGCCAAGTGCTTTACTACCAACTCCCAGCCTGGTGGCGCCTCTGGCCTTTAAAGGGAAAGACCAGTCCCTTCCCCTGGCTGTCATCCAGGCCCCGCTTCACCTCCAGCTCCCAACTCCACCCTGACCTCTCCCATGGATTCCTGCCATTCATTCCAGGTGTCTGAGTCTGGGTTTGGCCAGAAGGAAGACAGGGACTGGCCTTAGAGTCTGCTCAGCCACACTGCCAGCCAGAGGGAGGCCAAGGCAAGCCTGGCTGAGTCTGAAAGGCCCCAAAAGGCGATTCCCAGCCTGAGGCACGGCCAGGACTCCCGTCACACTATCCATCGCAGCGCTCTCGTCTTCAGAGCACGCACGCAGGGCGGCCGCACACAGGCCCACTGTCAGCAGGGCTCTGCTGACCCATCTCTGTAGGGCTTCTCTTCCACATGGCTGGTCTGCTCCAGAAGCCACTGCCGTACAGGCTCGCTCATGATCAGTCTGAGCGTCACCTCCTGGAAGACGCTGCTCACAGCCACCTGCATGAGCCAGATAGAACAGAGCCTTCTAAGTTACAGTCCTTGTGTCACCAGGCCCACTGCCCAGACCTAGGCCTCTCCCCAATAACATCCTTACCTGCTCAAAGTGAAGTTTCCGGAACATCCGGATGCTTGGTTCATTTCCTTGCCCGATTTTAGCCTCAAACTTGGTCAGACCTAGTTTGGTCACTCCTCCCAGAGGAGAAGAGAGAAAGGGGCAAGCAGCAAGATGAAGCTTGTCCCTGCTCACACCCCTAACCCTCCTGTCTCAGGTTACAGGGGGAACCTGTTACCTGCCCCTCACCCTCAGGCCTGAACGAGGCTCACCTGGGGCCTGGCCACTTCTCCCCAGGTTGTCTGCTCAGATTTTCTTACCATAAGACAGCATCATGAGAACAGCCTCAGTGCCAAGGCCCCTGCCCCTGCAGCTGGGCTCTAGGAAAAACAGCAGCAGTAGCTGACACCATGTGCCAGGCTCTCATGTGGCCATCTGACAGCTACGATCTCATTTAATCCTCACAACTCTGTGAAGTTGGTACTATCATTACCATTCTGCAGGTGAGGACACAGGCACAGAGAAGTGAAACAACTCACCCAAGGTCTCACAACTTACAGCCCAGCAATCTGACTCCAAAGCTAAACCCCATCCCCTCATGAGGATAGTCAGCAGCCCTCTGGGGGAAGCTGAGGTCCAAGAAGGATGCAGAAACAGGAAGGGTTCCTCCCATGGCATGGCAAGATGCTCCAGAGAAGCCCATTTATTTTCAGAGGGTCCCCAGCCCACCCCAAGGAGGGAGCAGACTATCTGAATTTTGAAGATCCCAAAACCAAAGGTTAAGTTCATACGTAAGCATAAGGAATAAACTGAGGAACCCATGGGTGAACCACTGGGCTGAATCAGGGGGCCAAGTGGGCTGTCTGCTCCAGCTAGGTATTGGGCTCACCCATGTAAGCCAGGGAGCTCTGTGAGTGCCCTATGCAGCCTCAGCAGATCTGAGGGCCAGGTGGAACACACCTGCAATCATGACCTCAATCTCCCCCACGGTAGGGTCTTCTAGATCTGTGAGGAAGAGGTTGACGTCTCCTGCCATGCAGCTCTCTTCCATGATGCCTGGCCGGGCCTGCCACTTCTCTGCATCCAGCACAATGAAGGTGCACTCTAAGGAAGGAGGCAACAGGGTTGTCACCCACACTCCCTAGAGGAGAGAGGTAAGGGTGGTGTTCCTACCCAAGCCAGAAAACTGCAGAACATCATCTTCTCTGAGTCCAGCAGGAGGAAAGGGGACCCACAGCTTCCTCCAGCTCATTACAAAGTTCTAAGTCTGCCTGGTGCCAGAAAAGATAGCCTCTCCAACAACCAAACTCTCCGAGAGCACGGGACCCAGAGGAAGACAGCAACTACACTAGGCTGTGGCAAGGGAGGTAAGGGGCAGGGCCTACATTTATAGCCAGAGCCCAAATGCTTTACTTTCTCTAAAGCCTTCCCAGCCTGGTGCAGCAGGCAAGGCTTCGGTGGGCATGAGAATACAGGGATTCCGGCACCTTCCAGGCATTTCACAAAGCTTCTGTGGCCCCAGAAGGGCTGGGGCTTGGGTGAGAACGGGAGGGAACCTGGAGACTACCTCCGGAGTCAGCCCTCCCACCACCAGGGCCGAGGCCTCTGCTCCTCACTGTCCGGGTCTTCTCGCCAGCTGTGCTGCATCGCATACTCTTGCTCCAGGGTCAGTGGCTCTGAAGCTGTCAAACGCTGCAGTTCTTCTGATTTCATCCACTCGTGGTACCTGCAGGGACAGAGGGGTGGCCTCAGACATGCAGAACTGATTCAGAGGCATGGGTCTGACACTTTATAAGATGAAGAAATGGAGAGTAGGAAAGTGGGCCCGACAGGGCTAACACGATCCTCACAGAAGACCCAAAGAAAGTGTTATGATCACTCCTAAGACAGAGGGCCACAGGCACAAGACCTAGAGGCATGCTAGTCTTATAAGAAAACAGCAGGAGTGGTCAGTTCTGTCTGTCCATCTTCCCAGCCTATGTCAGGAGTCAGTGTGGAGGGAGGAGCAGTCTGACACCAAACATTCCTCAAATTCTTCAAATTGCCAAAGTATATGGCAATCCAACTTCTGCAAAGAAGGCTGGGCAGATCCCCACAAAGGCAGGACACTAGGAACCCCCAAAAGGAAAACTACAAATAGAAGATACTTAAGCCTCCACCACCACTATCCCAATCTACCAGACATTTGCCAACTGCCTGCACAAGAGTCGTATCCTGTGACTCAGTCCTGGCCTTTCAAACAGTAAACATCACAACAACCCATCAGCTCAGAGTTTTGGGACAAGCTAACATTAAGTCTCCAAGAACTGAGCATCTTCACTGGCACCAAGGAATGTCACTAATTTACAATTAAGGTGAAAAAACAATTTCTTTTCCTTTATAACACGCATTTAGTTTACATAAAATAATTCCCTGATGAAAGGCCAAAAAGGAAGCTGAGAAGGTAAAAGGGAAGTCACAGTCCCCAGCTTCAGCTTTCTTTTAATTTCTCTTTTCCTTCACTTCCTCCAACCCTTCCTTCCTTTCATTCATGCATGTATGTATGTATTTGTTTATTTATTCATTCATTCCTTTATTTATTTATTTATAAAGACGGGGTTTCCCTCTGTCACCCAGGCTGGAGTGCAGTGGCATCATCATAGCTTACTGTAACCTGAACTCCTGGGCTCAAGCGATACTCCTGTCTCGGCCTCCCAAGTAGTTGGGACTACTCCCTTCTTTTTGTTTTTTGGTTTTTTTCCTTGTATGTACAGGAATTAATTCCCACAACCAATGTCTCTTCTTCTCAGGGGAAACAGCTCCTGAGATTGGAGCTCAGGAAGGCTGACCCTCCTCACTGTGCCTTGGAGAGCTGGCATACACAGCCCGGTGTGCAGCTACAACTGCACCCCACATCAGGTGGGAGAGATACCTGGGCACATGATCTGAGGTGTAGGGTACAAGGACCACCTTCTTCCCCAGCAGCAAGGTGTTCTGATTCAATCTCATGGTAGCAGCCTGCAGGTAGGGAAAGCAAAGACTTCAAGACACTTGGGTGGAAGTCCGGGCTCTCCAGCTGACTTCCATCCTTCTTTCCTTCCAAACACTTTAGAGAACGCCAATTCTAAAACACTTGCAAGAAAAAGAACCGGGCTGGTTAAGAATAAACAATCTTTGACTCGCCTCTCAAGGGGCCAAGCCTGGACTGCCGTTTCTGCCTGCCCCTTCCGTCCACCCGCCAGAACTTCGATTCCTCACACTTAAGCACCAAGTACCCAGACTTATCCCCAGTGCTTCCATCACCTGCCCCAGTCCAGGGATCGACCCAGGATCAAATTTCAGACCTGCCTTAAACCTATTTCCAACCTCTCACCCCAGCGACCACCCCAAGGGGCTCTAAGCCACTCCCTCTTTCCCGCCTCCGACTATTGAAAAGTGAGGCAGGCTTAAGTTCTTAGACTGCTCCCCTTTGCGTGGCGTTACAGGCTACTCTCCTGGACCCTCCAGCCACGGGGGCTGGGGTGCTGCCAACCTGGCACTGACCCACCGCCGGTCAAAGCATCCACCACAGAAGGGGTAACGCACCTCTTCCAACCATCCACGCTCCCCGGCCGGGCCGTCAGCCGACCCTCCCGCATGCGCGTGGGAGCGCGCCCGCCTGCTTCCGCCACGCAGACGGCAGCCGCCAGGCCCCAATCCCGGTCCCGCCCCCGCACGGCGCCCAATCAACGCGCTGCGCCCCACCCGAGAAGGGCGGAGGAGGCGGGCTGAGGCGCCGGCGCATGCGCGCTGTGGGCGCTGGTGTGGGACAGCTGGCGCCGGCAGCAGCTGAGGTGCCGGAGGCGGCGGAGGTCCGCCGGGAGCGAGCTGTGCTGCAGGTGTCGGGCCTGGCGGGATGGGTTGGGGCGCGGTGGCGCCAGATTCGGGGCTCCTCCAGGAGGGAGGGAGAGGGAGAGGCTCTGAGTGGATCTCTTGGGAAGAGGGAGGTTTGAGGGTGAGGAACCCAAAGCAGGACGGAAGGCAGATGGGGGACCGGGGACCGGAGGCCCCGTTAAAAGGAGAGGCTTTGGGGCAAGGAATGGGTTGAAGGAGTGACGTAGGAAGCCCCCAGCTCCTTACCATAGGCAGAGGACGCGTACAGTTCCTTGGGCTGCCGTGTGTGGTAGTGAGGTCACGGTTCCTGGAATTAAATGGGAATGGCCCACTCAGAGTGTGTAAAGGGGGCTCTTAAATCACTTGGAGTCTGAGCAGCATTGAACACGCCCACGCCATGCACAAGCAGTGCCCTGCACAGCAAGAGAAAAGTTGGAAGAAACCGCCCAGATTTCCATCACCTTCCCTTGGGGCTGAGTCTTGTGACAGATATTGAGGCTGTAACTGTCTGTGATAAAAGGACAAGAGGCGGGGGGCGGGGATCTGCAGGCACCCCCTACCCCTATCTCAGTCCATCAGAAAGGTGAAGTCTGCTCTTTTGTCTTAGGGAGCCGCAGCAACCGCTGCTCCTACACAGAAGGAACTGCTACTGCCAACCTTTCCCCGCTTTTGGAAATGGCGGGTGAAATCACAGAGACCGGGGAGCTCTATTCTCCTTACGTGAGTTTTACTTATAGAACTTTTGCTCTTGGCTTCTAGAGAAGCACACCGCTTCCTAGGGACAGTACTAGTGAGTGCTGCCACTTGAGTAGACCCTGGTGAAAGCAGGATGAGGGAGCTCCATGGAGCAGTAGCCACACTGATACTGTCATGGCTCAGAATGTAAGAGGTAGATTTATTCCCTTTTGAGGTATTTATCAGAGTGGTCAAGCCAAGCAAAATTGACTTGCCAAGGTTTTGTGTTATTTATCTCAGGGCTACTACCACTTGCATATGGTGCTGCCCTTTAAATGAACAGTGATTGACAGCTGTTGACTCTGGGTTTTGCTCATCTTAGCAGTTTGAAAGCACTTTGGTCTGTAGCTGAATTTTAAATTGCACAACTTCCATAGTCTTGGATGGCGTAAGAGACAGCAAAAGCATACAGAGTCTTCCAATTGCAGTTTGGTGGAATCTGCAGTCAGGACAATTAGAATGATTGATTTCTCGCTGTCTTGGATCTCTGTTACCCTTCATCCTCACACACACACACACACACACACACACACACTGTTTATCTTCTCCATATATGATGTGTGACTAGTCGTTGTTACATCACAGGGCCCTCTTGCCTGAATAAGTAGTAATAAGTAGCTGGAGGATTGAAATAATGAAATGATTGACTCACATTGCTACCAGGTATCCCAGGGAAAAGCAACACTGCCCTAAGTAGCAAGAACCTTTTTTCTAGAACTTATACTGCTTTAAACAGCTTCTCTGCTTTGCACATACCTTCCTAGCCTGGGGATCTCTGCTCTATAACAGCTTCTAGCCTCCTGGTATCAGCAATGAAATGTCCATGCTGTCTATAAAAGTCACCACAATTCCTGCTTTTCTTACAACATGTGTAAACTTAGAAATAAGGAAATGAGTAGTTTCTATAACTAAGTTTTGGGAGGAAAACACTTTGATATACCACCATTTCTTGTGTTGCTCAAGTTGTCATTTCACATGTCAGCATGTGACCACAGGAAACCGGGCAGTTAGGCGTACAAGCTTCAGTGGGCACTGCTTTTTTTTCCTTTCATTTCCTATGTGTTTTATTTTGTTCAGGGTCTTTGTTTGAATGCCAACTCTGGACGTAAACAGATGCTTGTGTTCTCTTATCCTACTGGTGAGAGAGATGTAGGGGAAAGACAGGTGATGGGGACGAGGTGGCATTAACCAGGAGGTGGTGGTCAGGGTTTTAACTGGAGAAGACACCTGCTTCCTAAGGGTTCCTTAACTCTATCATCCTGAGAGAATGAGTCTTGGTCCGCTGTGAGACCAGAAGAGTTTGTCATCCACTGAGCCCATGTAAGCTGTGGAACTGACTTGATTGCCGATGCTGCCCTGAATTCCCCGCAGGCCCCAGTTCGGCACAATGTGGGCAGAACTCTGCTCTGTGAGTTCTTTTCCCCTTCGGAAGTACTAAGGATGTTTGCTTTAGCTTGAATTATTCTGCATAAAATATTTGTAAAAACAGGCAGATGAGCCTCACAGGAGGCTCAGATACCACACTTTCCCAAGGATAGTGCTGAACAGTAACGTGGTTCAGGCCTGTATATGTCCCCATAAGTGATCTCAGGACAGGCAGGCATGTGTGTTTCCCCAATTACAGGGACCAGGAGTGACTCAGTTCTGAAGTGGTTGTTGTGTGATCAAAACACAGGATGAGGTGGATCACACCCGACAGAAGGGCCAGGCGCTAAGGGTGCCTGTGCTAACTGGCTCTTGCTGAAGGTCGTTGTTGCTTTCAAAGGAGAGAGCACGTGTTGCACAGCCTTACGTCCTAGTCATGCTTCTGCATTACTGCTGCCTTCTGTTTTCCTTCGACAACTGTCAGAGGGGAAGCTGTGGAAAGATACTGGTGACCCCTGGCTCATGCACATCATGGTGACAGTGCTGGGTTGGAGGTGAGGCAGGTGGGATGCCACACTGAGGTCCCTAGAGCATAGGGGAACAGATCCGCAGTCCCAAGGAGCAGGGGCTGTGCCTTCTCCAGCCCACCCACAGAGGAATTGAGAATTGGAGGAAACTCGGTTTAGCTCACAAGCAAAGGTCTTCTTTATTGAGACTGCGGTAGGGCCTTATTCCTCAGCCTTCTGCCACGCTTCTCAGGAGGCTGGCAGAACTGTCCTGTAACCAGCAAGAGAATGTGCCCTTACACTTTCCTCCCCCCAACTCCTCTTGACCCACCCTGTGGCTTAGGTCAGGTTTGCTCCCTGTCTCTCTGTCTGCTCCTTGTGATTGGTCCTTACTGGCTACCTTTACAGAAGAGAAGGAGGATTTAATGCTTGCAGGACTGCTGAAACCCTCAGAAGGCAAAGGACTCCTACATTATCCTACAGGATTCCCTGAGCCCCCGCCAAACGCACAGTGCCTGCTTTAGAACTAAAAAATAGCAACAAAGCTAGGCAACTGTGATTACCCATTTCTGCTCCCAACTGCCAAAGGTTTATCCCTAATTAACTTCTTCATGCAGTTCTTAAAGGTTCTTTTTTGCTGACATTTATTTTACGTTTCTGTTAGGAGCTTGCTTATTTCATTGTGCCTCTGTCACAGCAGTGGTTTTCAACTGGTGGCTGTCTTGCTCTCCAGGGGACATTTGGTAAGATCAGGAGACATTTTTGATTTTTTTGACTGTCAAGACACCGTTGATGGAGGGAGGTTGTTACTAGAATTTAGTGGGAAAGGCCAGGGATGTTGCTAAACATCCTACAGTGCTCAGGACAAGTCCCTGGCCCCTACAACAAAGAATGATCTGGCCTCCAAGTGTCAATAGTGCCCAAGCTGAGAAACCCTGATCTACAAGAGACCTTTGACTTTTACATCAGACTTTTACAGGACCTTCAGGCATTCCTGAATTTACAAATGCCTCTTTTTTTTTTTTTTTTTTTCCTGAGACAGTCTTGCTCTATCACCCCAGGTAGAGTGCAGTGGCATCATCATTGCTCAATGCAACCTCAAACTCCTGGGCTCAAGCGATCCTCCTGCCTCAGCCTCCTGAGTAGCTGGACTACAGGCACATGCCACAGCACCCAGCTAATTTTTTTCTATTTTTAGTAGAGATGGGGTCTCTCTCTCTCTTGTTCAGGCAGGTCTTGAACTCCTCAGCTTAAGCAATCCTCCCGCCTCAGCCTCCCAGAGTGCTAGGATTACAGGCATGAGCCACCTTGCCTGGCCTACAAATAAATGCCTCTTGTACTATTTAATTTCCCCGTAAAACTTTTGTGAGCCATCACTTTCTTAAGCCTCTTTGCTTTCTCTACCTCCATCATGAAAACCATTATTTTCCATAAAGAAACAAGTTTTCTATCCCTTTGTGTTACTGCTTATAGAAGCAATAAGCGGAGAACAAAGCTACAGAGAGGTCAGATGTTAAGTCATCAGCTGGGGTCTCTTTTTTTAGTGCCCTGTTTAAAACCCTGCAAAACATCAAACCCCCTCTCCAGAAGGGCTCTGCGTAATCTGACTCCAGCCTCTCGCAACCCCTCCGCTGCCTGGCTTACTGTCCTCCCACCACGACCTTCTGAAAGCTCCTCAGGCGTACCCACCTCTTTCCCACCTTCCACCTTTGTACTTGGAAGTCCCTTCCCTGACCCACTGCCTGGACGGCACCATCCATCCCTCACATCCCGGCTTGAATGTCACCACAAGGCCTTTCTTGAGACCCTCTATTTAAAGTGCTTTCCCCGTGTACTTTGTCTCTGCAGCCTGATTCTTTTCTTCGTAACACCTCTCTCAAGCTGGAATTGTGGTTTGTTTTCTTGTTGTCTCTTTCTTCCTCCTTAGAATGTAGCTCTGTGAGGTCAAGGCCATGTCTGTGTTGTTCATCATTGTATCCCCAGCTCTGAGCACAGGGCCTGGCCCATGGAAGGCTCTCGGTAGTTGTTGAGTAAGTGAGTGAAGGAGCAGAACTGAGCTAGCCAGATGGCCCGCTCCCGCCCTTGTACACACTAGCCTTAAAGTGCCAGTGATTGAAATTGACAC